TTGAGCTCTCAATCTGTAGTTGTCAGCTCAACAACAACAGAAAAAAAAAAAAAAGAAAGAAAAAAAAAAAAGGAAAGAAGGAAGGAAGGAAAGTCTGATGGTACCAAGGGTGTGATGCGTGATGTGTGAGGAAACAGGAACCCTCACATGGCACAAGTGAGAACAGCTGCATCTGTCCTTGTTCTGGAAACATCTGGAAGGTTCTGAGATGCACACCTGTGAGGGGAAGTGCTGGCTGTGCAGGTTGTGTTGTGTTTGTAGGAATCTTCTCACCGGCTTGGGAGCTGCTGAAAATGCAAGTGCAGCCTTGTCGTGGGGTTTTGGGGGGAACATCTGCTCATGTGATGTTGGGGTGATCATGGTATGGTTGTAGTAAGGAGTGGCCATCACTGGGAGGGTGAGAAACCAGGGTGGACTTTCATCACAGAATACAGAGCAATAGGTAGAAATCTTTGCCACTCTAGATTAAGTGTACTCAAGGCATCATGGACCAGACAAAATTTGACTTGTGTTATGTTTATACAAAACAATGTGTAATATAGTAGTACTCTTGTAATATACATATGTATTATATATATATATATATATATAATGTACTATATATATGAAGCAACACAAGTTTTGTAAAACAAATATAGAGAGAATTTATATTAGCACATTAGCTACACTGCTACAGAGAGGAGAAGAAGAGGCATTCAGGAAGAAAGGTTAATAGAGAACAATGCTTTATGTGTAGGGAGACTTAGGTACCAGGTGTTAAAACTTACTAAAAAGTTGTGATGGTCAAGACAGTGGTGTGGGTGTCTCCATTGACAGTAGATCAATGAGCACCCAGAATCAACTCCTATATACAGCCAACTGGTTTTTAACAATGGTCTGGACAGTGCAGTGAAAAAAGGAGGACTTGGGCCTAGGAGATGGTTCAGCAGATAAAGGTGCTTGCTGCTAAAACTTGATGACCTGAGTTCAATCCCTGAGACTCACATGATGGAAAACGAGGACTGACTCCTACACATAGTTTTCTGACTTCCATATAACCATGTGGTATGTGTGCCTACATGATTTTATTTATTATGTATACAACATTCTGCTTCCATGTATATCTGCACACCAGAAGAGGGCACCAGATCTGATAATGGATGGTTGTGAGCCACCATGTGGTTATTGGGAATTGAACTCAGGACCCCTGGAAAAGCAGTTGGTGCTCTTAACCTCTGAGCCATCTCTCCAGCCCCTGTTTGTTTGTTTTTATTTGTTTGTTTTGTTTTGTTTTTTTAAGTTTCCTATTATACCAACCACAGGCTTCATACCAAATGGCTCGTGAGTTACCTCCCCCTCCCACACTGAGCAAAAAATGGTGCTGTGGGGAGAACAAGATTATCCACAGTTCACTGAGGCCTGTGTCTCCCAATCTTTTACAGGCTGTGCATCTTGCCTGGAATGGTGGTGACTGCAGCAAAGCCTCCAACAGCAGGGCTGGCTCCAGCTACAGCCCTGACTGCTGTGGCCTTGGTACCTGGAGTGGCATTCTCTCAGTGACCAGAAAGCAGTCAAAGCAGCTGGCCTGTCATGCTGACAGTGGAGCCAATTGCCAAGGAAAGGGCTGCTTGGTTGACAGTCCCCCAGCTCAAGGCAGCCAGGCACAAAGGAAGGGCCTGGGGCTGTCAATCAAGAGGAGTGGCTAGTTCCTAATAGCTTAGTTTGTTTAAAGGCAGTAAAGAAAAAAAAATCATCAGAGGAAAATTCACTAAATGGCATACACAATAAAGACATATCACAGATTAACATTCTCAACAGCACTTAATCACTCGCCTAATATTTTAACCAAGAATTGGGCCTTAAGGGACTAGAGAAATGGCTCAGCAGTTAAGAGCACTTACTGCTCTTCCAGAGGAGCTGGGCTCAATTCCCAGAACTCACATTGCATAGCTCACCACTGTCTGTAACTCCAGCTCTGTGAGAGCCAGCCTTTGTTGATACTTGCACTCATGTGACCACAAACACATACAGACACAAAAATTAAAATTAAGATATATATATTTTTAAACTCTTGGCTTTAGGAAGAGCTACATCCTGCAGATTCGTCCCATCAATAAGATGTATCTATTTATTGAATCTCTCTATGCAGTCCTGGCTGGTCCTAGAACTCACTATGTAGACCAGGCTGGCCTTGAACTCACAGAGATCCACCTGCCTCTGCCTCCCGAGTGCTGGGATTAAAGGTCACCCAGCTCCCTAGGATTTCATAAACATGTGCCTATTATACAATCCAGTGTTTCTTCCACACCTACATACTGACTCCCCATAAAATGAAAGCTTATGTTCATGCAAAGCCTTGTACACGGCCCACTCCTGACCACTTTATTTGTAATAGCCCTGTCAGCGCGAGTGCGGGCGCGTACACACACACACACACACCTCACTCCAAAAAGGATATAGAGAGTATATTCTGGAACCAAATGTGAGTCAGGAGGCACAGGAACACTTAGATTACCTCAAATTCCATGTTCCAACATGGTTAACAGTTTCATATTTTTCTAATAACAGAACAAAGAAAATTTAAAAAATCAAGACATTTTTTCAAGCATGTTGGTGGAAACATCAGGTAGATAGATGAGTTCCAGAACAGTGGGCAACCTCAGCCATAGGCCTCACATGCCATCTGGTAGCCAGTTTTAGCCACTGGGTTGGTGGAAGCTAGTGCTCTGTCTGTATGCTTCAAAGGATTTACCTGCCAGTCACCAACATGCTAGGTCACATACACAGGGAAATAATGACTATTAAAGGAGTTGAGGATGATCAGGTTCTGGACCTACAGCATTCCCAACTCTCCAGAACCATTGAAGCTCCCAGCAGCTCTCAACGTGTGTGTCACGACACCCACAGAGGTCACATACCAGATACTTATACTGCAATGCATAACAGTAGCAAAGTTACAGTTAAGAAATAGCAATGAAACTAATTTTATGATTGGAGGTTGTGGTTTGAAAGAAAATGAACCCCAAAGAGGGTGGCACTATTAGGAAGTATGGCTTTGTTGGAGGAGGAAGTGTGCCACTGTGTGGGTAGGCTTTGGGGTCTCCTATGCTTAGGCTACTCCCACTGAAACAGACCATTTCCTGTTGCCTACAAGTCAAGATGTAGGACACTTGGCTTCTCCAGCACCATGTCTGCCTGCACGCCACATATCCCAGCATGATGACAATGGACTAAACCTCTGAAAATGTAAGTGACCCCAATTAAATATTTTTCCTTTATAAGAGTTGCTGTGGTCATGATGTCTCTTCACAGCAACAGAAACCCTAACTAAGATGGGGGTCACCACAACATGAGGGACTTTATTAAAGGGTTGCAGCATTAGGAAGGTTGAGAATCACTGCATTAGTTAATCAGTCTTGTAGAAGGCTCAGTGGAAGGGGTAGTCAGGAACTTTCATTCACAGTCCAATCAATGAGTTAAGAGGGTTGCCAGTCGGACTTGGGAGGTTCTGGAAGACTCTAAAGAGAAAGGGAAGCCCCCACAACAACTCACCTATACTACCCCTTCCAGAGCTAAGGAAATAATAAATAATAATTTAACTTAGCCATGAAAACAAAGAATTATTGGCACGTGGACCACTTAGGATAGACCTCAAAACAAGTAAGCTGAGTATATACTGTATGGTTTTATGTATGAAATTGTCTAGAAATGCAAACTACTATACAGCAACTGAAAACAGTTGGCTTAGGAGCCGCCCTGAAAGAAGAGGGTACCAGGTGGCACAAGGAAACTTCAGAGCTGATGCTCCTCATCTATGGTTTCCTAAGAGAAGCATATGTCTCACCCTGATACTGGAGTTGTTAGGGTCAGAGCCTGGGCCCTGGCAGCCCTAACAAGCCAGACCCGGCCACCTGTTGTCTCTGTGCCAACTAAAGAGACAAGTCATCGCAGAGGGGCTGGAGAGATGGCTCAGAGGTTCAGAGCTCTTACAGCTCATGCAGATAATCTGAATTTGGCTTCCAGCATCCATATCAGGTAGCTGACAACAGCATGTAACTCCATTTCCAAGGGATCCAATGCTCCCTTTTGGCCTCCATAGCACCCACATGCATACTGTGCACATAAACTCTCTCTCTCTCTCTCTCTCTCTCTCTCTCTCTCTCTCTCTCTCCATCTCTCTTCACACACACACACACACACATATAAAAAAAAGAAA